AAAGAGCAGGGAGGAGGAGGTAACGATTGGTCAGCTGCTTAGCTGATCACAGGTTCATATTATTACTACCAGGCTTCAGATGTACCTAATCACAAGAAACACTTGTGCCTGGATCGTGACTGCCCTCAGCATTCCTTCCAGGCGGCAGACGCACTTTGTCAGTTTGCCAACATTCTGCTTTTATGAGAACAGTGTGCTGTTTACCCATATAGCCTCCAGTGGTATACTGAGATGATCATGACCCTCAATCTTTTGGCCTCCAACAGAGGCAGGTGAGATGGAGGCTGAGCAGCCTCCGTCCAGTCTCTGCTGCAGGGAGCAGAGACCCCAGAGTCCCACCCATGCATGCCTAATGAGGACTGGGGTGGGCGCAGGGCCTCGGCGGGGAGAAGGGAGGCTCAGGGCCCCCTCCCCAGCCCCCAGGGCCAGTGGGCACGCCTCTGTCCCCCACAGAACTACGTGAGCTGCCACGACCCCAACAACGGTGCCCCTTTGAGGTGGCCAGATGTCCAGTATGAGATCCTGGGCGGCCGGACAGCAAACCAGATCATTTTCAGCCACAACAACGGCTTCTATGTCTTCTACATTTCCATTGTGGATCCGCACTACAGGTGAGCGTGCCCATCTGCCCCAGCGACGGGGGACGCCTGATGCCCCTGGGGGCAGGCCACCCATGGTTCGGGGGACAAACCTGAATTCCCCCAACGGCCCAGGCTGTCCCCAGGACAAGTGATATTTTAAGTTCTGGGTGACATTTGTTCCTATGTGAAATAAATACTCATTTCAGAGTCCTGCACTGGGTGCTGGGGGAACAGCAGTGACCGGAGGCCGCACCGCTGCCCTGCCACACCCGAGTCACCCTCTCCTACTCCCCGTGGCTAGGGTGTGCTGATGGCTGCGGGTCAGAGCTGGCTCAAACTGGCTCGCCAGGAGTAGACTCTCGAGTATTCAGGAATCTCCAGCCTGACCAACATGGTGAAACCCCGTCTCTACTAAAAAATACAAAAAACTAGCCGGGCGAGGTGGCGGGCGCCTGTAGTCCCAGCTACTCGGGAG